AACACTTACCAATGCAAAGAAGAGAAATGGGGAAAACGTGGCCCTAGATAGACCACAAAAGGAGACTCATTTACACTAGGTGAGCTGAAACAAAAGGCAGACCACTGCCCCGTTGTTCTATTCAACGGGGAAAACAGCCATTGGACAACTCACAAGAATAATCCCCMAAACACCTTGAATATTGTTTGGACATTACTAGCAAATTTTAGTGAATGGGGAATTTCTAAGTATGGAATCCATGAACAGCAGGGACTGACAGTATATTTCCAACTCTTTTGAATTTATGACTCTCTATGATCTATCCCTCACTCCTAAAGCCAACTCTACGTCTCTCTCTCTGGAGGCAACGTAAACACTAGCTGAATGGAACAACCCCAGTTTCTCAAGCACACAGTGTTCTTTCATCTTTCACAGCTACTCTGTACCCCACATCTTCTCATCACCCTCCTGGGACAACCTATTACTCCCACATTTCCCTAACCCATCTGTCACAGTGTCATGGGACTCTGGGCGCTTTTCCAATAATTTGAATAATAATCACAACATCCTGATTATTAAAGCTCATTTCAAGGACTGTTTACTATGGACCCAAGCACTGCTCTCAACAATTTACAAGTAAGAACTTAACCTGCACAACTTATTGACAGAGATCATTAGTATCCTCCATCAGAAAAGAAAACGGAACTGAAAATATCAAGTGCCTTGCTCAAGTCACTCAGCAGAGGAGTAGGAGCCTCAGAAAGGGATGWGGGCCACCAGAATTGGAGCCTAAGCTGAAATCACGGTGCTGCGCTCTCACGCTCTCACAATAACTGCTAAATCTAGGAGCACTAAGATGAAGATGCTTCTTTCAGCAGTATGGGGACAGGGATGGAAACAGAGGAAGGAATACAGAAATACACAGTTCACTCCATACCTTACCATTGGCATCCAAGAAGAAAATATTCTAATGACAGCAAGCACTGTGTGTGGAATTATATCTGTGTACTATGCATAATTATCTTCTATCACATAAGAAGGTAGAAATCCTCTTAAAAATTAGAAGAACATGAATCTTAATTCTGAAATRAGATTTTTATCATTACCCATTACCTTTTCTACCTTCACATCTCAGTTTTTTTTTCCTTAAAGATAAACCTGAACAAATTAAGGAAAATGTTTATAAAACTTCATAGGTTAAAGCACATCGTATGGTTTAGAAACAATTTCTTCAAAAAAAAAAAAAAGATAAAGAGTGTATTTTGTCCTCAGTGAAGTTAAATAAAAGGGTTGGGTGCGGTGGTGGTGCACACCTGTAATCCCAGTGGCTCAGGAGGCTGAGGCAGGAGGATCATAAGTTCAAAGCCAGCCTCAGCAACAGCGAGGCACTAGGTAACTCAGTAAGACCCTGTCTCTAAATAAAATACAAAATAGGTCTGGAGATGTGGCTCAGTGGTTGAGTTACTGTGGTTGAGTTACCCTGAGTTTAATTCCCGGTACCAAAAAAAAAAAAAAAAAAAAATCAGGTATTTTTCTGTGTCTTGTAGAATCATACAAACATTTAATCACTTTGGATTGAGATTATGGAGTTATTTTATCAGAAAAATCTGTTCCATAGTGACACTGTGCTGGGAAGGAATGAGAGGCCCATCTGCCTTCTCCAAGATATTGCGGTTCATTATCCGTTAACAAACTGTTCTTTCTGCCTYGTTGGAAAACTCAAAAACATGCCTTTGACTACCATAATGTGATTTCCCAAAAAGGAAGGAAGGGAAACACCATGGCTAACTACGCCCTGGATTCCAAGCKCCATGCTAATCACCAACTGATGGCCTGGCAGGGCCCTCCAGCAACCTTGAAATAGAAAAGTCACTGTCCATCTTCACAGCTGAGGAAACTGATGCCACACAAGTATTTTCCCTCAGAAGCAGGGAAACTTACATTAAAATCTAGAGCCACCCCTTCCCACCTCCAGGACTCCAAAGACATCATTTAACACTTCCTAGCTGTTGCCTAACTTGGAAGAAATGAAATAAGAAATTCAGTTCATCTTATGGATTAAATTTTTCTTCAAAGARATTCAAAATATCATTCAAGCCTCAAATTTCTCCTTCAAGTTCAGTGTGGAGTGTAAAGGGAAGATGACATTTCTTTTGGGAACACAGAGATAATTCTGTACAGAGTGAGTGCTAACTCCGTCTAGAGTCTGCAGCCAGCTTGCAGTGTTGCAAAACGGCCTCTAGGTGGTGCAATGAGCCCGTGAGTCCCTGGACAGGGGCTCATTTATTTCTGCCATTATTCAAAAGTGAAAATACCAGCTTGTCAAAGTGGTTGGCTCACTTCCAGCACAGAAATCATTACTCAACAGTCTTTCCAACTTCTAGACTCTCTGATGCAAGACCATGGCCTGGGAGGAGCTGTAGGGGAAGATCTAAAATTTTAAACTAAGAAGAAACCACAGGGAAAAATAATAATAATAAAGGAAACCAATACTCTTTTTGTTATTCTCTGTTTGAGGTTTTCTTTTTCCCTAAAATAACTTTTCAGGTCCTTGGGAAGGGGACTCATCAATTCTGAAGGCCTTAACATCACAATAAATTGACTTTCAGCAGGGGAAAAAAAAATGCTTCATTAAGTACTCATAAAGCAGAGCATTCACCAGACACAGAAAATGAAAACTGAGATAAACCCATGGCAGAAGTGTAGAAGGAATTAGCAATAATGTAAAGACAGATGGAGCTACATTGAGGAAAATTACTCCCATGTTGGCTCATGGAATAGGCTGGATATTTTTATATAAAAACAGAGTCCTGCCCCCCTTTCTATATAACCTTCAGAGGGCCCAGGGCCTGGAATAATTCCAGTTCTACTCACTGCTCATTCCCCAAGCTTAATCTCTCCTCTGTCCCTTTGCACTATGCACTCTGCTACCCCAAACTATCAAGACTTGGGGCAGGGGCACAAGGCTGTTCTGCCTTGAGGTAATTTATGGAAAGAGCTCAGCATCTGCATTTTCCACATAATTCAAAAGAAATCCAGGCAGTGACAGAAAGATGATGAAATTGCAGCAACACAGGGGTACCAGGCTCTGGGCCAGGAAGGGGTAGCAGAATCAGTCAGGAGTATGTTTGAAATGCACACACCATAATCTCATCTTAAGTCGAATATGACTTAAGGGTAAGGCAAGAGGCTAGGGTATTTTGCCAAATCTCTCAAGTGATATGGATATGTCCTGCACAGCACAGGAAARTAAAATTAGAAAGAACTGGAAGGGAGGCAGAAGGCAAGTGTTGTCCACCTTCCCTGGGGTATATCTTTGGGAAACTGCTCTTCTTACTCTAAGTAAAAAGAGGACCTTGATCATCAGCACAYACCAGGTATAGGAAATTCTCACCTGGTCCATCAATCCTGACTCTTTCTGCTGAAAGTTTTAAAATTCRATTCACTAAGAGATCAAATGTTGAATGTCAAGGTCAAAATACAGGATATGATGGTGTAAAAATTCTGTCAGAATACCTTTTTAAAGCAAGTTCCAAAGCTGAATACATTGCCAACAAAAATTCTTATTCGAAAAGACAAGTTGAAACTAACATTATAAAAATGRTAACTTACATTATTTTTCTAAGTTTGAGACACTATTGAAGAGGGATTAAATATATATAGTCAGTGTGACCCACTGCTAGTTAAACTATAAATTACAGGATGTTAATGGATAGTAATGAGGCAACATCAAAAGTATTAAAAATCTCTACCATAGATAATTATAGCTCCACAAATTTATACGAATAAATGTGATAATGGATGTGCATAAATATTGGGCTGCAAAAATGTTAGAGACTTAATGGAAGTTATTAATAGTTTTCAAACATTGAATCAGTAAAAGAGCTTAGTTAAATCAACTTCAGTATATTCAAATTAAAATAAATAAATAAATCTCTCAATAATGAAAAAYACCTATTATCTGATACGAAAGCATTTTTAATTAAAAATTTCAAAGAAAATTCAAAAACATTGTGAATTTTAAAGAAAATTCCTATAGAAGACAAGTCCTCCCAAGTAACATATAAAGTACCGGACTACTTTTGTTAGATTAAACGTAAACATTAATATATATATATATATATATATATATATATATATATATATATATATATAATACATACACATAGTGTACTGTACATATACAATACATACATACACATAGTGTACTGTACATATTACTCGTATGTACTTACACATACGAGTATATGTACATGTATATATACAGATATAATTTTGTCCAAGAAAGAGTATTTAAAATAAAAAAATATACCTAGTGATTTATAATCACTGAAGCCAAAATCTCATTCATGTCATTTTTTTTATGGAACTTAAAAAACCCAAATTTATAACTGCAAAATTTGAGCTTACCTGAAGGCCACCCTRAAACTGATGGTGATAGGGTAAGAACAGACTACAAGTGGATATAACAACAGACTACACTCCGAACAAGTTGTGTTCTAATTTGCAAACTGAGAAATAAAATTGAGGAGTCAACCTATTAGCATCTGTGGCAAGATAAACCTTTCAGGAAGATATAAAGTGTATGAAACTTATCATGATTAAATTTCAGAAATTTTCAATTTGATTTTGATACAAAATCCGTGTACATAAGTAATGCAATCACTGACCCAATGATATGGCCTCTCCCACCATTGCCAGCATACAGCATGTAACTCAAACAGAACCTCAAGCATCTTGTAAAGCAGATTTCAGGGAGATGAGATGCAATCCGGGCTAACTACTCTTGGTTACACTTAATCAGAACTGAATAAACAAAGGCAGTATTAGTCACACTTGTGCAAGTTATTCCATTTCACTGCAGCCAGAGGACTTTCATGTGATCCTGTTTAAAYCAGCTAAACATCTGGAAATGTGGAAACTATTCTGTAAAGTACAAGAGGACCACACGCCTGATGCGGCTGAGGTCAGCCACGGGGAGGCTGGAAGGAGAGAGAGCTTACTGGAGACGGCTTACTTACAATGAAGCCAAGTTTTTTATAATCCCGAGTGTACATGGACTTGCGCTTCTCCATGCTGCCGCTGCTGTTGTTAGGCTCAGACTCGGCATCAAAAGCAATTCTTCGAAGTTCAAATATGATGTCTCTTTGAGCCTAAAGGAGTTAGGGAGGGGAGAAAAAGGAGGGAGGGAAAGCTGCTTTCATTGTGTGATGTGACACAACTACCTCTTTCCCCAGAGTCTAAACGAATCACTGCATTCAGGCAAAAGAAAAACAGATAAAAGACAACCAATGTTCGAAGTTAGGGCTTTGCTGACTTCTCTTCCTCCTGCCACTCTCCCTGATGGTTAGCCTGGGCCATATTGCACAACTCTTCTTGCAGCCAACTAATTTGGAGGGCTAATATCAGTTGCCCAGGACTGTCCTACATGAGACCCCCAATGTGATGGAAGGGTTGTGACTGGAAAAGATAAAGTTGGGAGAACCTGGGAGCACTGCGCTGTTAGAGAGACACACAGGTTCAGGGACAGAACTCAGGTTACAAGGGACCCCTACAGAACGATTTTATGGACTCTAACATGTCACTAAAACAAATGAGCCARAAGGAAGAAACAACCCCAGTGTCCATCCATGGATGARTGGATAAAACACAGGTCCCACAGACGGACAGTGGTGGCATATTATTCAGTCACAGAAAGGGACAAAATTCTTACACAGGTGACAATGTGGATGAACCCAAGATATTTTTTGCCAAATGAAATAAGACACAAAATGACAAATATTTTCTAATTCCATTTCTATGAGCTTCCTACAGTAGACAAACTTCTAGAAACAGAAAGTGGCATAGGGTTACCAGGGGCTGAGGGGGAGAGGGCAGTTGGGCAGTTATTGTTTAATGGGCACAGAAATTCCGTTCTGCAAGATGGAAGAATTCTGGAGATGAATCGTGGTGATGTTTTCACAGCAATGGGAATGAGCTTCATGCTGGTGAACCGTACACTTAAAAAATGGATAAGATGATAAATGTTAGGTTAAGTATTTTTACCATAACAAAAAAAAAATTTCATAAAGAAAGAAGAATTTGGAAACAAGGAGCATTGCTCCATTATTAGGATGCACTGCTCTCCATCACTAGAAGAGGTAAGATGACAGTCTCATCTCCCTGGGATGATTACACTTGGCCTTGCCAAAAATGTGCAGCACGGTCATTGGCCTCTCTTAGCCTCCTCCATCATTCTTAATCGCATGGCCTTGTGCCATGAATGAAGTGATGCAGCAGCCACACACTCCACGCATGCAGCCCACATCTGCAACAGATCAGGCCCTCACGTGCCAATAATGAGTGTTTTCCTCTCCAAAGCTGCAGCACTGCTTAAGTTGAAAATGTGCTACAGAGGGGCAGGCTTCCCAGCTGTTTCCTCTCACTCTACTCTCACACAGTAAAGTTCCCCCAAAAGCTTCTGGATGGAGACAGAATCTTTCATGGAAACAAYCAAAGACTTAGCAGGGAGTTAGAGCAAAGAGCCAACTAACAAAACTGCCAGCCCGAAAATCGGGTTTATTTAACACAGGACTAACCACTGGCATTGATCATCGGAGAAAGGAAATTACTTCCAATTTGCAGAATCAGTATCACACAGAACTATCCTTGGCCCTGGTCATCTGGGAACTTGATCCCAAAGTTATCACTATCTAAGGTACGGTGGCCAAGGGCCAAGGTCTGAGGCCATGGACAGTAAGCTCTCCTATCTAAAAGAGGAAGAACATGGATGTGTTCAGGGCCTAATGGAAGAATCCATTTATTTTATTCTCTGATCCCAGGTTCACCTAAATTTTAAAGTCATACCACCAAGTTTGAGAGGGTAATAAGTCAATCATACGATCATCTTAAACTCCTGGTTTCAGGGTAGCTCCAGAGAAGACTTTTAGTGACACCTCCTTCCCCTCATGTGCTCTCACTGCTGTCTGCTGGGCACCCACCTGGTCCTGGGGGTCCATCTTGGTCATCATCCTGTCTTCCAGGAGGTTAAAGGTGAGCACTTGGAGAACATAGAGCTGGTGCGCCATCTCATTGTTAATGGCTCGCTGCGCTCGGATGACATGCTAGAGAGATGGTTCACAAATGACACTTTTAAATAACAAAGAATAAGCAAAAATAAATAAATAAATAAATAAAGGTTAACCCTTGTTGTTACCCCAAGTAGAACCTCAACAGTGTTTATTTGGATGCACAAGGGATGGAGAATTACGGAACCACCTCTCACAAGAAAATCAGGGCACACATAATCTCAGAGCTTTCCTTGACATTGTGGGGCCCAGTAAGGTTCCTGATCTTGTGGCCAAAAACCTGGAAAAGACCTACTGTGTGCAGAAGCTCCTGGATGAAGGGGGAAAGGTACTTCAAGAAAAAATGTACCTGAGATGAGTGTCTGGAGGACACCTCTGAGTATGCTGCAAGGGACCAGCAGCACCCACCTATCACAAGAACCTTACGGTCATCTCACCCCAGGACGGCCTCTCCCAGGTTTTCCCACTTCGGATGGGGGCGGGTAAGTTTTAGAAACAACACACAACAGCAAAATATTCATCTGATTTGTAGTGAACTCACTGTGGGAACTCYACAAGCCCCACTTCCATCCTGGTGTAGTCTGCAAATGCTGCTACATTTTTTTTTAACAGTTATTAGTTAATAATTAAATGAAAAGTTAAATGACATTTCTTTATAGAAACAAGACTAAAAGCAGGACAAACATAAAAGGGGTGGCCGGAAGTTGGACGCATGGGGCTTTGCTTCCACCACAGCTCATACAACAGCCAGGTCTAATGTRTATCCTTTTCCGAGAGACCTTGGCTATACTTTGAAAATGCCAAATGACCAGTCACAGTGGCAAAACACTATTCAGATCCATGATTTTGAATGCAATAGACCCAGCCAGGCCCTGCTATCTGCAAGAGAGCTTGGTCTTGGCACCCCCTGTTGCTACCAGTARATAGCTGGAAACTCACTTCCAAGTGACCCTTCAGTAAATGCCAGAGGTCCCCAACATGAAAAAAAAAATTATCTTCCAGCCAAGACTAGAGGATAATTAGCCACTTTCTCTAGCCTCATGKACTCCTCCTTTCCTAGAGAGTCACAGTAAASGCTCTTGGTGACACTCTGGGTTCTCAGGGTGCTGCCTGGCTACCTCCTGACCTGGCACGCACCATGTCCCCACATAGACTGTGAACATGACATTGAAGCAGCCTGCTAAAAATGGAGGAGAGGGAGAAGAATGAGAGAGAGAAGGACAAGGAGGARGAAGAGAAGAGGGAGGAGGATGTAATTCAAATGGCTGAACCAAAATTATGGGAGGGGAGAAGCTGGAGGATGGAAGGTAGGGGGTGGGGTGTCACACTCCATACCCTTCATTCTCCAAAAGRGAATGGTAACTTGTACAACTTTAGTGCCCCAAATGTATGGGCATCCATTTTATTAAAATCTCCCAGACCTCTGCACTTCAACTTGCTGTCAGAGACTAGAAACCTTAAACTTCCAGCTATGGACATTTCATAAAAGAAGTGACTCTGAAGCCAATTATCTTTGAGACAAGGTGGCTATTGTCATTCCACCCACTCATTTCTCTGAAGATTCCAACCTCAAGTTCCACACCCGGGAGGTATGAAAAACAAGCTAAGCCCTTCTTCATCCATCATTTCCAACCCTTCATCTCCCACCTGGATCCCTCTCCTTGCGCAAACACCTTCACTGAACTACACCTTACTATTGACTGCAGCTTCCACATTTTTAGGGCCAAGATRAAGAATGGCCTATTATGAATCTTTCTGTACTTTCTACAAAGCCATAATTAGATGTAGAATCTATTAGGCTGTTTTACAAAGACACATTTCAGATTTCAGTTTGGGGGTGGGGGGCATTTTGCCATCCCTGAAGAACTGGAACACCTCTTTTTTTTTATCAGATGGTGAAATTTACATTTCATTCTTGATAGCCAGGAAGTTTAAAATCAAACTTGTTCACCAACTGCAGTCCTTACCATTGGCCTTGAGTTCTAGAATATTTAGTTTCTTTTCCTGAAAAAAGATTTCATTTTTGAGAAAAGGAGGCAGGGAAGAGAAAGAGAGAGAGAGAAAATGTGTGTGTGTGTGTGTGTGTGTGTGTGTGTGTCTGTGTATGTATGTATGTATGTGTTGTATCTGTATGTGTGTGTATGTATGTATGTGTTGTGTCTGTATGTGTCTGTGTGTGTGTTGTGTCCRTTGTGTGTTGTGTCTGTATGTGTGTTGTGTCTGTATGTGTGTGTCTGTGTGTGCCATGTATTTCCTAACTGACTGTGGAGAGACTGCCTCTCTGAGGCCTTGCCAATTTCTAGAGATAACAAAGTACTTCTTTCATATGCAAACCAGCTGGAGCTCATGCCACCAGCCCTCTGTCCTTATCACCAAGGAACATGTCCCAGACAACTAGAACAGTCCATAAATCCCAAAACCCACTGAATTTAAACTTCCTAATCCTAAACCTGCTTAGCCACTTTCTCTAGCCTCATGTACTCCTTTCCTAGACAGTCACAGTAAAGGCTCTTGGTCTCACTGCCCCTGACTCCTGACCAACCTGGCTTCCCTGTGAGGCCCCCTCCTGGTTGTGGTTGGCTCTTCCTTTTGGGAATTATAAGTAGCAAGCTCTTCTTTTCACTGGCAATGACCTATAGACCTGTTGGTTTCATCATAACTGAGTAATAATAAAACATTGTGTGTGTGTGTGTGTGTGTGTGTGTGTGTGTGTGTGTGTGTGTGTTGTGAATTCTAAGCTTGCTGAACTGGAATCGTATTATCAGATTTTTTTTTTTCATTCTAAGCAGAAAACCTGCTTCTCTCAAGTAGCTGAGAAGGCCTCAGGAAACCTTGCCGTTTGGTTTAGTTATAAACACTCACAGTGCGACTTGAAGGGCTACTTTCTCCCTGAGGTATAAGATCAAGTCTGCACTGCAGTTAGTGAACGGTTCCCACGTACTTTCCTTCTTTCCTCCTGTAAGGGGGCCAAGAAAATGATGGCCAAAATTTCAATGCTTCTCTCAGGGCCTGGTATGTTTCCAGACAGCTTCCTCATTTAAAAAAAAAGTACAAGTTCATTTTGGTGTTTTTTTTTTTTTTTAAGCCCCTGATGTCCTTGACTGAAAAGCCAAAAGTCTCAGGGTCTGTACTAAACCTGCCACAGGAAGAGGAAGGTCCAGCTCCTCAGGCCCCTTGGCTTCCTAGGGCAAGGTAAGACTCCTCCTGCCAATCACAGGAGGCAATTCCTGTGGGAAAGCCTTACTTACTCCAGTTCCACACACACACATTCCCCTCCTTTATAGACCCTGCTGCTTCACCACTGTTCCTGGTCACAGAGCAACCACAACTGAGGCCAAAAGAGAAGTGACAGCGCACCAGGCCACTCCCCCCAGCAACGCAGTCCCAGCCCCCGAGGTACTCACTGTTAGAATGATGGAGCGCAGCTGCTTCTGAGCCAAAATATTCGCCATCTCCTGTAGAAGAAAAGCACACCCACACGAAGGCTTAGGTTAGAGAGACACATTTCAGCAGGGCCAACAATGACTTGATCCTGGGGTGTGCTTCATAACTGTATATCAGCAGTATTTCTTAGGAACTCCCATTCAAATTATTTTTTTTTTTGCCTATTCCATTGAGATTATAAAAGCCAGATGCAAAAACAAGGAAGGAAAATCTGGCACCTGTACACTATTTTTTATTTTTTTTGCCTTTAGAAAATTCTTCTTTGCAGAAAAAGGTGAGTGCTGAATAAAAATCAAACATTCCAAATGAAAGCAACKGTTCTCCATTAGAAAGGCTCATCATCTTTTATTAGACTGTGTGCTGAAAGCTTCTGCAAGGCAATGCATGCCCACTACAATATTGTCCGATATGAAAGAACCATTGCTTTAAAGAGTGAGGTCTTCTAAAAGCCAGTTCACTTTGATCTGTGCAAGACCAAAGAGGGAGTAGCACATACCCCAGACTGGAAAGCAGGCTCTGCCAGTGAGCCCAGTGGGTTTTAGCAGATGTCCCGTATCTGGGCAGATGCCGAGCTCTGGTGTTCATACTCGGCTTCCACTCTGCTAGGGTTCATTCCTGCAGGTTGTGCTTTGTGCTCTGGCATTTCCTGACTGGCACAGAGAACTTAGGAGTGATTTCACAGACAACCTTTATCAATACTGACAAGTAGATACTAATTGGAAAATTAAAAAGTAGAGCATGGCCTTGGCCTTGGTATACTTTCAAAAAAGCTCAAAATACTGCTCATATTCAGGAAGACACTGAGATGCTGGTTTTTGGTGGGGAGTATTTTTGACGTTGCTACTCTTACTAAGCAGAGAAGAAAAAACTAAGCTACGATTCAAACAAAATAACCATAAATTCTACCAAGGTTGAAATAAATGTGCAGAAAGCTAGGAGAACCAAGAGCATGGGGGGAAGGAGCTACGAGGGGACACAGGCAAGGTGGACAGGAGCAGAATGGCAGAGCGGGGCCTACTTATTCAGGCTGACAGAGGGAACGTGGGTGACTTACAGTCAGAGGACAATCAAGGATGTCAACATTGCTCTCTACATCAACCTAACGGCGTCATCGCCACCACAGAAAGGAAAGCAAGCAGGAGAGAAGAAGGGATGGAAATTCAGAGCACTCTGTTAGAGGTTGGCAGCTTCAACGCAAGGCCCCTTCTGACCCACCACACTGAGAAGCCRGTAAATACTGTCAGACGATTCCCAAGGGCGGATGGCATGGGAGACCAAACCCAGGACAAGGTCCTCTCCCCCACTCTTGGAAACTCAGAAACTAGAGCAAGGACACTCTTCAGAAACAAGCTCAAGGACAACCCAAAATGGAACCTGTCCTCCACACTGCAGAGAAAGCAGCTCTCTCCTCCCTATCTAAACAGAAAGGCCTGGAGGTTTGTCTTGTTTTGCTTTGGTTTTGAGGTCTTGGACCAGATGACAAACAAAAGGCCCAAAGAATCCTACATCTCTCTTAATTTCCTTCTATGAATTTTATAAATTTCCTTTATAAAAGTGAAAGTCCTGCCCAATAGTCACATGAATCAAAAAAGAAAAAATACTCCTTCTCTATGCCTATTTTGGCCTGTTTATAAAATATTTAAGTTAGAAGGGACAACATATTTCTGATATCTACTAGAGCATTCATTAATTATCTGTTTACAATATTTATCTTCTGCATAACACTATGGGCTTCTCATGGGAACAGAGAATATATTATGCTTTGTATTCCCAGCTCAAGGCGCGATGTCTAGCACCGAGCAGACAATAAATGTTTGCTAAAAGAACAAATGAATATTTTATGTTCCCCTCCTGTGGAACAGAAGCTTCATCAGAGAGAAAAAAAATACATATGCTTGTCCACATCATGGATATTTTTGTCTAATATTGGGGAATTGTGTAAAGATGAGAATCCATGGGGAATGTTTTAGAGCACTAAAAAGATCTAAAATCATAGATAGACACAAATATGGATCTAGATATACCAACATAGAAAGACGTCCGGAAAATATTTTTTTAGTTCTAAAGGCAGATTTTTTTCCTTAAATGAAATAATGCACAGAGTATGCTTGCCTTTAATGAAAAAAAAAATGATACATGTAGAAGAATATTTGCATAGAGCAAAGCAGGAAGCCAGAGCCATGAGCCATGAGAGTCACAAGGTTCGTGAGGAAYTGCAGTGGTTCTTTTTCTGGGTATGCAATTATGGGAGTTTTTCAAACTTTTTTCAAGTCTGTATTTTCTGAATTTCCTATCAAGTCCTTTAAAAGTCTTTGTTTCAAATAATGCTTATCAAAATCACCAATGTCTATAAAAAWTTTTGGAAGACATCTCATCAACACATTTGCCATTAAAATAGTAATTTGAGCAATGGCAAATCATTGTAAGGAATTCACTCACTTAATAGCAACCCCTTTTCCTAAAAATCCATTGTGCATGTTCCCATCGTTTGTGCAGAGAAAGGAGAATGTCTTTAGTCCAGGAAGCATCATGGGAAAGCAGGACTTCCACCCCAAGGACAGCCAACCAGAGTAGATAGGAGGGAGAGGAGCTTTAAATTCACTTTATACAATTTAAAAACTAAAGGAAACCCAGATAATGAAGTCCAATGAATGTGATGGAACCCAAGTCAGCAAAAGAAGCTGAAATAAATAAAAGTATTAGACTGAAGTAGGTTTTAAACACACAAGCAAACAATGAGTTCTGTAAGTGYAATACACAAGTTTTTAGACTACATTTTAATCTAATTGGAGCAAGAAAATGGTCCTGGTATCTTCTATTCTTCTSGTAAGTGTTTGTGTGACAAATACAAGGAAATTCTGTGGGTGGCACCGGCTTGATTAGAATTTGATGGGACTCTCTGCAGGTAAAGGCAAGGAGGCTGGGCTTCTAAGTCTGGCTCTTACCAGCTCAGTGACTTGGTCATTTTTTTTTTTTACTCTTTTTGCATCTCAATTTCCTCATTTGTAAAATAAAAATAATACAGCTTTCTCTTAATATGTGAACGAAATTAAATTAAATGATAAAATATAACTGAACATCATGCCTGGCGCATGGCAGACTATTGATAATAGTGTCATTAATGGCCCTGTTTGGCAGATTTTCCTATTTGATCAAAAAAAAATTTTTTTGAGAACTTTTAGTTTTTCAGAACATATGCCAATAAAAATGTCATGTCAAAATTAGCCCGGTTAAAACTTTATTTTACTGGCTTATAGTCTCAGCTGTTAATATAATCTTCTGTTTTATAGGCTTCCAGTGACCTTCAGGAAAAAAATAGCAAACTGTTCTTCATTAAGAACTTGCGATCATTTTYAGAGCACTCACAGCTCAGAAATGTTTTAAATTCAAAAATCATAATGCTTCCTTTGTTTTGATGAACAACAGTCTTAAATTCAATGGTTTATAAAGTCAACATCAATTTTCCACGGGCAAGTAAATAACCTGTGGCTATTTTTACTTCAAGGATTGAATTTGTCATATAATACTTTGTAAATTTTTGGTGGATTATATGTACGCTTTCTTAGCTGTATTGTTTTCGCAAATGGTTTAAAGTTATTAGATTACTCTATGTGGTGGTTTATTACATGGTCAGACTGTCTTATCTATCCATACTGCATAATTAAAAAAAAAAAAACTTGTTTCACAGAATCCAAAACTAAAGTTGTTTTGTTATTYCATTATATTTCCATTGGTATCAACATTCCAAAGTCAGTTGCAGATTGATACTGGGTTCCCTATGTGCCCAYGGCCACGATAATTCAATTCAGTAAACTAACAGTAGTGTTTGGYGTAGAGGGAGATACAAAAGTAAGCCAGGTATATACGCCTTACTCAGGCCTAGATCCAATAAAACCATAGCCCTTGGGCAGGCATGAGCTTTCATTTCTTCTGATCTAACATCTTCTTCCACATTTGAGAAAGGAAAGCCCTAAGAGTTCAGAYCAGAATATAGTCCTCCCCACCCTACATTCTATCCTGATCTACATGTGGTTTGGCCAAATGTCCTCTGTTGGGTCAGTAGAAGGATTATATTCCCYCAATGACCAGTTGAGAGCTGCCAGACAATTTTCTGGGCTGCCTGGGAGCTACGATGAGCTCATTATTTAAGTACAAATATCAAAGGAGTAGCCCACCCACGATCCCACCTCAGACCTGCGAAGTCACGCTTTCAAGCCCAGCATAGGCTCCCAGAGGCCAGACACCTCTTCCTGGTTCTATCCAATTCAAATCAAACTCACAGGAAACTATAAAGCAACACCACTCACTATGCAAAAGGAGCACCTCTCCCCATGCAAATGTAGACCCTGAGGAATGAACAAATAATTCTAAATGGGAAACAAACCAGAACCCCTGGCTTTAACCCCCGAGGTTTAAAGTCTGTAAAAAAAAAAAAAATAATAATAATAGTAAAATAAAAAGATTCTTGACACAGCATTTTAGTAGTATGCTGGTTAACTTTCTAATTTCTTCTCAAMTAGTTCTTGGACAACCATCATGAAGGCCCCCCTCTGGTTTTCTAATGGTTAAAAGATCTCATATTTCCATGAAGGTTTTAAAGGAAGTGAATTGTGACCAGGGAAATATATTCTATGCTTTGTTGATAGAAAAAATACGCAAGGACTTTGAGGTATGAGTTAAATTCCAAGACACAGCAAAATCAAAATTCTACTTCTTTCACATCTCCCTCTGTAATGGCCCTTTCCCTAATGGAAGAGAAGCAAAGAACTACAGAGATAGCAAAGGATAGGCTTCATATGGGTACACTTAAGGGGCTCCCTTCTCTTTTTGCACAGAGGAGGGGAAAAGACTGCTCAGTCCTCCCAGTCACAGCCACATGGACAGAAGACATAGCACCAAACCCAGCCCCTCTGACATATCTCATCCAAGGGCTGTAATCTGCATCTTTTCCCTCCTTTCTTCTCACCTTTCCATCTCCCCCAACCCAGGGAAAGGCAAGACAGCTTATCCAAAATAYAGGAACAGCACCTCCTTCACCCCAGTCAGCATCTATCAAACTCGCAGGGGTTCCATTGCTTCCAACCCCAACCACAGTGATGCTGTAGTATTCTATGATTTGGGCTTCTACACTGAATCAGACTTCATGAAATGAGTCCCCTGTCCCAACTCCCCGTGTTCTTCATCAGTCAAAGGGCTTGCCCATCCCCACCAYTAGGCCCAACTGCAGGACAGAGCTGCTCTGGACAGTCACCTGCAGAAAGAGCAGCAGACCAGCCCAAAGAGTCTAGATGGGAAGGAGAGGATGTTCAGTGCATGAAASGTCCCCAGCCCTGGATACAGCAGTCATAAGACTAAGGGGATGCAGCTTACCTGCCTTCTTTCATCAGGGGCCTTCAGGAAAAGTGCATTGATCACAGCGATGGTATAGGTTTGGATTTCCTGGTCTGTTCTGTAAAGATACGGAAMAACACAGCAAAGTCAGAAGAGGTGATCCCTGAGGCAGATCATRGTGARSTTCATCATCACATACATGCACCCTCTTCCCAGAAGTTAGAAAGGCAGGGAGGGACTAGGAAACTCATTCAGCACTGAGAGTGTATTTCAACCACCACGAGCCTGAAAATAAGGTAGGTACAAAACTGCCATTATTAGGCACCTGGTGGATATCATGCAGAAACACAGGAAGCCAGTTGGCTCTCTCCAATCTCTCTTCCATTAGGATTAAAGACATGGGCCCAGGAGTTGGGGATGTACCTCAGCGTTAGAGCACYTTCCTAGCACATGTGAGGTCCCAGATTCAATTTCCACCACCATGAAAGAAAGGGGGGTGGGGCATGGATCCAGGGGATATAGTCATCGTCACAATAGTCATTTTGTGTGTGTGTGTGTGTGTGTGTGTGTGTGTGTGTAATTTTCTGTGTTATGCATGATATAGATCAGAGAGCAGCTATGGATACCTCCGCATTCCTGTTCTTATATAAAGGAATCTACTTTGTCTCCATGGCTATGATAACACATATTCCAAAAATCCATTTCCAAATGGAAACTTTTAATAGCAAGAAGAATAGGTATTGATGTTTATAAATTTGTTTTTCACTGGAAAGAAATCAGGAATTCTAAATGAAGCACAAAATGAAAGTAAGCTGCATGGTGAACAGTAAACAAGAAGGACATAAGGCAGAAACAAAGGTGGCCTAGAAGCTCCATTTAGGGATCATCTGTCAGGCTGGTCAGGGAGAGACAGAGCTTAGAACACAGCCTGTGGCAGGATGGGATTCAAAGCCCAGTTCTCCACAGGCTGCCTATGTGGTCTTGGACAAGCTARTGAGTATCCCCAAGGCACAGTTTCCTCATCTGTAAGAACAATATATTTCACAGTGTTGCTGGGAGGAAGATAAAATGAGATAATGTCTATAAAACCCTCAGCACAGTGCTTAGCAAATAATAAACTCTCTTCTTTGGTAAAGTGCATTGTGAATGAGCACATGTGCCCCTGAGAGTCAGAAAGCAAGCTGTGACTATAAAGTTAATACATTTCACTTTCAGTGACATGTGAAATGGATCTTATTTCTAGAGAGGTTACATAAAAAAAAAAATCTCCATTCTGGAGAACAAGGTACTATTCACTGAAGCCACAATGTACAGCTTCTTTGACTTAAATTTTAAATTCTGGTCATCCTCCTGTCTCCAAATGAAGGTGGAGGGGGGAGGATGTGTTTTGGGAGTTTACATTATAAACACAACAGTTAACATTTTCAGTGTATTGAGAGAACTACTGAATACTCTCTCACACTTCTATCCTGCATCACCAACCCAAATGAGCCAACCAGATTTCCTCTTAAGAATTTGCACATGTAACCTGAAAGAGCAGAGGTACTGCCACCAGAAACAGGTCATGCTGGTGCCAGCCAATATGCTACAGGAAACGTCTGCTGCTAAGGTCTCCGCAGAGGCCATAGCTTCTTTCACAAAAGCATTGTTACTTAAGTCATATCTGGATTCTAGTGAGATACTAYTGTGTCCCTCCAATAAGCTCCCTCTCCTGTATAAGCTAACACAATTATTTGTTGCAACTTCAACCCCAAATACTTTACCAAGTAGCATTGTATAATGGAGTGCTTGTTAACATGGTATCATAAGAGGCAAACTTATTAGTCACCTCAGGGTGGACAGAAACGAAAAGACTTCAGGTTGCCAGGTCAGCTATCGAATAGCCACATTAAATCTCAAACGTCTAGGGAAAAGCACCTTTATTATATTATAAAACACAAAAGAAGAATGTCACTGTTATCACCTTGAATATAACTAAGGAAGAAGCTTGCCACTAAAAATTCCTGGTTGAAAATGCCTAACATAAAATGTTCAACTAATTATGAAAATTAATTGGAAATAATTCATGATGTAATTCATGATATTACAGAAGATATAATCTTAYATAGTTAGGGAAAGACTATTAAGAAGAAAACAAAGGGTCTTACTTTGTCTTATTAAAAGGATAACTATTAATATCCACTAAAATTCACCAAAACTGAGAGTCTCCTAAGGTCCAGACAGTGTCTAGACATGAAACTCATCAGGGATGGAGAGTGGGTAGGAGGTAGTAATTGTGCTGCTTCAATGTGATGGTGGATGACTGTGGTACATATTTTGGTTATGGGTCAACTCAATATTCTTTTTTTTTCTTGTACAATTAATTGGTCCAATATATAAAGTTTCCCATGGCATGATTTCAGCTGCCTCCCTGAAGGGCACCCTTACTCCCAGGGCGCCTCCACATGCTTACCCTTGAAGATGAGGAATGAGTTGGCCAATAGTGATCTCCTGTGCCACCTTCTGGTAGAGGTCATGGCTATTGAGCACCATTGACTCCAAGATGGCCAAGGACCGTTGCAGGATTGAGATGTCTATGGCTGACTTGTTCACAAAGCTTGCTATCTGAAAATCCAAGTGGGACAACATTGATTGCTCATGGTAAGCAGCGCAGGGAAGTAGATAAGGGAACAGATGAAGCAAATCAGAAACTCGATTAAGGAAACCACACATATAACAAAACAGCAAGAAATCCAATGAGCCAACAACGACTGCTCACAACATCATTCAACAAAAATTGAACCTCTCTTTAAGAAATATCTTTAAAGAACTATTCTGTCTGGTCTTCTCAGCCTTATTCTCTGAGCTTCAGGTTTCACAGGCAAGCAATCATAGCACATGTATTATAAGGATCCCTGTGTTTCTCTGATGCAGTAATTTCAACAAATGCTAATAGCTACTCCTCCCCGATTCCCAGGCTAGTCCTTCACTCACACAATCCATGACTTTTACATTTTTATTATGTTCCTGTTATGTTCTTAAGGGACTCACACAAATCACACTTGTCAACACGATTGAAATGGCAAATTTTCAGTGCCTGGCCACTCTCCTAGCTACTCCTAAATAAAAAAAAATAAAAATAAAAACGAAAAAAAAAAAAAAAACTTCCCCCCCTATTCTTTCAATTTCTTATGGTTAAAATAAATTCTTCTCAATTCTCCCAAATGTACCAATCAGGAAATCATTTAAATTAGCAGTGCTAAAAGTTAAAATACTAGTTTAAGCTCTAAAATATATTCCCTAAAGAATTAATCACTAAAGCCTCAATATAATAAATCACAATATAAGAGGGAAATAAAATAAGGGGTTAGAATAATGGATCACAGCAATCCAAACACATGGGCACCATAAAGGCTTTATTTTAGAGACCTCATTAAAAGTTATTGCAGCCTGTTGACAACTCATACTAAAAGGCCATTATAATATCAGCATAATGACTGCTTTCTTAAAAGCTGAATAACRTGGTCCCATGACCAGTAAGCACTCACTGCTTCCCTCTGTCAACACCAATTTCTCTCTTTCTGCTGTCCCACCCACCGTGGTCCTCATCCCCTCTCTATCCCTGTAACTCTGTAAAATGTGAATGCTCCCATGACAATTCCCAATTGTCCTCCCAACTGTCTCCAGTCCACAGATTCCCATGGAAAGTAATGGTGGGAGGGGAAGATAAGGACCTCCGCCTGCTCCGGATGCATCTAGACCTTTGGGGTGGGAAATAGTGAAGGGAAGAAGTACAGGGATATTAGAGGTTTACATTCCAAAAAGCTATTATTTTATAAAAAACCAACTACGGGAAGAGCATGAGAACTTAAGACCCTCAACAGACTGTTTTAGTTCCTCTCATGCCTAATAAACTCCCCTGGTAAGCATCTGCACTAAACCTCACATCTGCTCCAATCTAACAAACCCACCACATGAAGGCCACCTTTGGCCATTGTTCTCTGACAAAAAAAAATCCAATTGCTCTCACCCTGCATTCACAGTTTTATAGTTAACTTAGGCCCCTTCTAAGTAGAGTATGAACTCCTTGACTTCTCCACCACCAACCCCCTGACTTTTTAATGTCCCAGTATGATTGGAAAGCAAAGAACTCATAAAGACATTTGCTGGCAATAGTTCTTATTTTCTCTATTCTAATTCTCCCCTCGTTGCAGGCTCCCATCTTGTCTTCACTTGTTAAATCTGGATGTTCCCTAACCCTCCCTGGAGCCTTCCACCTGAGCACCTGTTTTGGAAGTTCCTCCACCCCAGCCTTCATCCCTTCTTTTCATACATTTGGTATTTACTCATGCGTTGATTGATTCACTCAAGTAATAAGCATCGTGTGTGCCATGCCTACACCAGGCCCTCACAGTCCTACAGATCTGGAAATGCAAGGATGACCAAGAACCACACAGTTTGTAATTTCAGAGTCTTGCAATCTAGCAGAAATAGATAAAATATCATTTTCTATAAAATATATTAAATGTTCATTCTTGTCATAGAAAAGGTGATCTCCATTTGTATATTTCGACAAAGCCTCAAAATTAAGCGGTGTAACACAAATTTCATATTCTTCTTTCTCTTTCCTTCCCTGTTATTACCCTTTCTCATGTGTCCATAATCATTAGTGATTAACATTCCCAGTTCCCTACCTTTCACCTCTGTGAATACACTTTAAATACATGCTAAATATACCTTAAGCATATTTATATACCACTGTCCCATGGTATATGCGGTTACTTCGTGGGGATTAAAGTTCTATCTTCTTCAGTTCCCTCTATGTTCAAGTTTTCTAATGAATGGAAATTTACCCTCTACTTCCACAAATATTTTTTGGACAATATTTCCTTTCTCAAAATGTTCAATTGCTGCTGGGCATGGTGGCATAGGCCTATAATCTCACCAGCTCAGGAGGCTGAGGCAGGAGGATTGTGAGTTCAAAGCCAGCCTCAGCAAAAGCAAGGCATCAAGCAACTCAGTAAGACTCTGTCTCTAAATAAAATACAAAATAGGGCTGGGGGTGTGGCTCAGTGGTCGAGTACCCTGAGTTCAATCAATGGTACAAAAAAAAAAAAAAGTTCAACTGCTTTTCACAAGTTTCCTGATATAAAATACAACTTTTTATAATGGTTCTTAAATTCTATACAAACCATTAACTCTCCCCTGTTCCCCAATGGGCTAGTTCAATGATGACAAAATCATGTGTCATCTTTGCTTTAATTCAGGGATATTTATAACCCACATACATATTTCCCTTCCATTGGCCATTTCTACTTATATCTTTCCCATGAAACCAATCTTTTACTTTCATAAAAACATTCTTTAAAAATTATTTCCTACAAGTTCATCTCTTCCTTAACATAGTACCAATGCTAAAGCAAGGAACCTGATGAGCATTTTGTATAACGCAGTGAGCTGTGTGTCTGCCTTAYACGGACAGGGTGCGTTAAGTCTTATGTGCAATTCTGGAGTAGATACCAGTCACTTTTGAAGCTAACTTCTTTCTCTTGTCTTTGTCAGTGGTTTTAAACAGACATTTTGAAGGCCCTGTACTTTCACTGAATGTGTATTGACAACAAGGTCAGGGCTGATCCAAAAGAATGTAATGATTATCTTCCTCAAGGGAACTTGAGACCTACTCACTAGTGAATGTTCAAATCAGGAAATGGGGCTGGGGATGTGGCTCAAGCGGTAGCGCGCTCGCCTAGCATGCGTGCGGCCCGGGTTCGATCCTCAGCACCACATACCAACAAAGATGTTGTGTCCGCCGAGAACTAAAAAATAAATATTAAAAATTCTCAAAATTCTCTCTCTCTCTCTCTCTTTAAAAAAAAAAAACAAATCAGGAAATGTACAAACATTATTATCTGTGCCAAGTTTGAAAAGTATAGATCTTAGTATAACTACAGACAGTTACAAACTGTTCAGTTAAATTTCGTTTTCCTTTACCTCTCAAGATATTCATAAAGGTTTCCTTTGTCTTCCAATCACTCCCTGCTCCACAACTGCACTTTGGCAGACATAGCTCAGCTTCTTCTCTATGGTGCTGGGGATGGAACCCAAGCACTGCACATGCTAGGCAAGTGTTCTGAGACTGAGCTAAACCTTCAAMTTGACAGCCTCTATCATAAAGAAGAACAGGTCAGAGGAGTTAGTGGTAACTATATATCTGACCTCATCATGCTGTTCATTCATTTAGAAATGCTACCTAAAAAATCAGAGGACTATTTAGGTAACTTTTAAGAAGCTAAGCGGCATCACAGTGCATGAACCAATAGCACAATAAATACTTCTTAGGGTCACTTAGAACTTGATTTCAAAATTCTTGTATGTTATCAAAACCAAAAAGAACCAAGGAGGGCATGAAGGGCCAGTCTCAACTTTTAAATTGGTACTATGTTAAGGGCAGAGGCTTATAAATCTCTCAAAATTTTAGGAGGCAAAAATGACTGGATTTCTTTTTTAAAAAAATGACTGCATGTTTGTCTAGGCACTGAAAATATGTGCAGGGCCAGGTCGCCTCAGAGCTCAGGCCTCCAGAGCACATTTATGAAACTTTCCTTTCTAGAGAAGGCACTGATGTTGTACTTGGCTAGGAGGAAACCAACTCATAACCCAGAAAGTTCTTTTTTTTTTCTTTCTTCTCCATGTCTTCCTACCCTTTCCCTAAGTAGCCAAGTCTTTAAAAAGCAACCACATTATATATTGGCATCAAGGGATTCCAAGTCTCAGAGTGTTTATGAAATGATGTTATTTATTGCAGCCACAATTTGTAAATCAGAATCCAGATCCATATGTAATGTAACAGAGAAAGAGACAGGGGCTGGCAGGGAAAAAATATTTCTCCAAAGTGGTATGAATTTGGCATTAATAGGAAGCCAACTTTGGACCATGGAAATAGGCATCTTTTGTCAGTGCATTTCCTAGTTGATTTTTGTGGAGATAAAGCTCCATTTAAAAGAAAGTTGCCTGCCTACAAATCCGGGGTTGTCAGGGTGCTGAATGTGATCCAGCTGATGAATAAAAAAAGTTAACCTTATAAAAAATTAAGTAATTATCTGATGACAATTTTTCAAATGCATGTAAGAAATCTCTCTAAGTAGTAATGTAAGGGAAATATAATAACCAAGAATGAGACAAGGAGCATATTAAAATATGTTGCCTTTTAAAAAAATATTCAAATTTTTAAAATTTAAATAGCCAAGGCTGTTGCCTTTGCTTTWTTGGATTTAAAAGAATTTTAAATCTCATTTCAATGAATGAAACCATTTTTTTTGGGTACTCAGAAAACTAAATCATTGTCTTTGTCGATGACTACTAATCACATCATTTAAAGACACACAGCTTTGTCATTCTTTTTTACTCATGACTGAAACTTTATTTTTAAAATATAAGGACTGGGGCTGGGGCTCAGGGGTAGAGCACTTGCCTGGCATGTATGAGGCACTGGGTTCGATTCTCAGCACTGCATATAAATAAATAAGGGTCTATCAACAACTAAAAAAAATATTTTAAAAAATATATTAAATATAGCACCACTATATTGTTTCTCTTTTTCAAGGTCTATTGTTTTAAATGCTTTTAATGCTTCTAAGAAAATGCCATTTATTCATTTTATAGAAATGCATGAARGTCTCCCTCAGCACCAGGTCATGAGGATAAAGTTATGAAAAAAGACAAGTTTCTCCCTCCTGGGCTCAGAGTCTGTTGTGAAAGACAGTCAGATGAACAAGAAAATCACAAAAATGGGAGAAGACAGTGCTGGCACCAAGTTACACACCTGAGATGTGAGGGGCACAGAGAGCAGTGGAAATCACAGAGAAGACCGTACTAATTAAACAAGGCTCCTGGCATGACTTTTTGCAGTATTGGAGAAACAGCCCTGTCCTATGTGACCAAGRATGCCCCCTCTCACTATGACTTCACTCAATCCTCCAGTCACAGGATCCTGGCATCTAACCAGGCACAGTRAGACTCAGCTGCTATGTTCTGGAAAGGGACTACTGTGGGGAATCCAAGGAGCTCAAGTCAGTGACTACAACCTAATTCCAAGGTGTTCACATTCAGGACATGATAGTTACATTTTAGTAATTAGAGATGAGCAAAGCCATTTGGATATAGAAAAGAAAAGCCTGCTGCAAATTCAGAACAGTGTTAAAATTTTTGTTAGCATGAAAGTCTACAAAACCCAGTACCTTCAGAGTCAGGCTTGCTTCTTTAGAACTTATCTTAGAAAAACATAATAGAACAATTTGTTTTCTGCTCTCATAATCSCAGGCCTCCATTCCCTGCCACCAATTAAAGAATGTGCTTATAACACATTAGAATTCCTCTGGCTTTCTCATTTGTACTAGTTCCTTTGCTTTTTAGGAATTCATATCACTGACAAATAAAGACAGTCTTCCTTTTTTATATATGTTTCCTTTTGGTTCCCTTAACTTTTCTCCTTTGGCTTCATGGATTTACTTACATAAGGAAAGAAGGTCCAGAGGTACGTCAAGAAAGCTCTGAGTTTCCAATTATCTTTTGTCTTAAATAAATCTGCAACCCCATACTTTCCGTTCTCGACACCCTCATTACACAGACGAGGGGATTCCTCTGGCCTTCCATTCCAAGTGGCATCTTCCCAAAAATTTTAGTTACTTTAAATAGAAAATCAGTAACTTTCCCCAAGGTACASCACCTCGACCATGTAATCAAAAGACATATTGATGTCACATAACCCTGGAACAATGCACAGAGAAAAGGCACACCAATACTAATGTAAGACTGTAGTTCAAAATGCATAACCTTCCTTAGGTTGACCATAGAAGAATATTAGACAATCCAAACTGAGAGAGACATTCTACAAAGTAACTGACCAGTGCTGTTTACAAGTGTCAAAGTCATGAATGACAAGGAAAAACCGAGGAACTGACAGACTGGAAAACACTAGGAGATAAAACAGCTAAATTCTATGTGGGATCCAGGATCAAATCCTTAAACAAAGAAGAAAAACTGGTGAAATGAAATAGCAACTTTACTATCATGTAAAATGTCAGAATTGGGGAAAACTGGATGAAGAGAATATAGGGTTCTCTTAGTATTCCACACATTCTATATTATTTTTGCAACTTTTCTTTCAGACTGCTATTATTTCAGAATAAATGGATTAAACTTGAAGTGATCTTTATTAAACTTCACTGTGATTTTCTAGTCTTTGCACAGATTCACTGAAATTATTTTAGATAACTCTTCCCAAGATTCTGTACTTTTAAAATAAATTTTTGAATTCTTAACATCGCTTTATAACTAACACAACAGTAGACAGAAAAAAAATGTCAATTAACTTATTTCACAAATACTGAGAGAGGAAAACTTGATAACAAATACTAACCATTCAARTTTAATACTACATTTTAAAGAGTTACACAGTCAGCTTTGTTTGGTTTGGTTTTGGTTTTGGTTTTTGGTACTAGAGATTGAGCCCAGGGGAGCTTAACCACTGAGCCACATCCCTGGCCTTAACATATATATTTTAATTTTGAGACAAGGTCTCACTAAATTACTGAGGCTTAGCTTTGAACTTGCAATCCTCCTGCCTCAGCCTCTCCAGCTGCTGGGAATTACAAGCGTGCATCACCATGACTGGCAGGACTACTTATTTTTTCTCAGAAAAATAGAAACAGAATTGGAAATGTGCAGGCATGTCTTTATCATGTGTCAATTGCTGGGAACAGTAAGGGCTCTTCTGCCCTCTCTCCCCAAGCCAGGTCTACCTTGGCCCATCCCTTTATCAGATTCTTTTCAAAAAAGAAAACAGTCAAACTGGTTGATTCCTGAGACATTTATTCCCTCAGGATACAATTAGCAGGACCCTTTATCTAAGACTCTGAGCCTGTATGCCAGGCCTGTTTTGTTCTATCCCTGGACCAAACTTAGGAATGTAGGAAATCATCAGTGGCCTTTGTTTCTTTCCCTGTCCCTGGGGATGGATCACTGAAGGATAGTAGGAACCTCATTTAGGTTTTGAAAACTTGGAGTCTTGCTTGGGGCAGTGATAGACACAACAYGTGTATGGTCTTTAACAAGTGGCATGTTGACTTCCCTTAACTCTGGGTTCCCATATGCAGTCTCTTATAATGTCTGCAGAGACAAAAGGTCATTTTCACAAAGAATTTGGGTGCTCTCATCCCCACATACCTAATGCTATAAAACACCACGCTAACCTGTTAACATAATGAACCAAAAGAAACAATTATAGAATATTTTCAGAGAAAAAAAAAYCTGTGAAAGAGGAAGAAACATAAGCCCAGGGAAGCACAGTCCACGTTACCTTCTTAATAAAYGCCACCGAAAATGTATCCCACGACACAATGCCATGGTCCATCAGCTCCACAAAGGCCGTCAGGGTGAAGGACAGCATGTCTCCAAAGCTGCAAAACAGAGTCATGGGCCCAGAACTGAGCACTGGGAAAGATGCAGAAAGCCTCRGGAAAGCAGAATTTTCAAAGACCCCCGGCATAAGCCGCTGGACACAGACAACTTCCTCACACACCATTCACTCAAAGTCAGCATTCACTCAAAATCAGCCGGGGCCTTCACAGTTGGACAGGCCTGGCCTCACGCTGACCTCACTCTGAAGAGCTGCATCGCACTGGGAAATTCACTTAACCTCTCTGAGCCTCTGTTTTCTTAGCTGAAAAGCTGGGTAGTGAGTAATAGCTTTTTAACCACAAGGCTGCTTGTAGGGCACTTAATAAAGTGCACATCATATAAACATTCAGTAAATGCCAACGTGAAGAAAAACTTCTCAGCAAATAAAAGATCTGTTAAGAGAGGGCAATGTGCCGCTTTTATTATCCACAGCTATCAAGGGGGAAGATTCATAATAACAGTGAAGAGTATCAGCCTTTGGAAAGGATCCAAGAGCCTGCACTTACCTCTATGTGTGTACTCAGATACAGTCTGCGTCTAAGTAAAAATGGCTTACTTTGATGTTACACTGGCCAGCACTGCATCTTTAGCCCAGTGGGTTTTATGTAGTAGCTATGGAGACAACAACCCCACGTGAAGGCTTTGCTGACCCTAAACTTACTGTGATTCAGAAGCTGTAGATAGAGTCTAATRTGTGATTTAGAAATCAGAGAAAGATGAGGAGGTGCTATGGCTTGAACTAATGTCTCCCAAAAGTCCACGTGTTAAAGGCTTGATCTCCGGCTTGGCATTTTTGGAAGGTGGTGGAAATTTTAAGGTCTTCGGGTCTCTGGGGATATGCCCTTGAAGAGAACTGCTGGGCCCCTAGTCTCTTTCTTTTTTACTTTCTGGCCATGAGATGAAAGTTTTGGCTCCATCAGAAGCTTCTGCCATGATGTACTGCCTCTCCCAAAGCCAAAGGGCCAATCAGTCATGGACTGAAATCTCTAAAACCATGAACCGAAATCGACCTTCTTTGTTTATAAGTTGCTCATCTCAGGTATTTGTTACAGTAAATGGAAACTAACACAGACAGGCTCAGGTAAAAGCACTTTCTTTCTTTCTTTTTTTTTTTTTTTTGTTCTGGAGATTGAACCCAGAGGTGCTTTACCACTGAGCTACCTCCCCAGCCCTTTTAATTTTGTATTTTGAGACAGGGTCTCACTAAATTGCTTAGGGACTTGCTAAGTTGCTGAGGTTGGTTTTGAACTTGTGATCCTCCTGCCTCAGCCTCTATGGCCACTGGGATTATAGTTATGGGCCACCATGCCTGGTTAAAAGCACCATCTTTCTATGATAGTTCCATCTGGAACACTTGCCAGACAATATTCTGGTTTCTAGTGCTTTCCAAAGATATTTTGACAGACATTTATATACTCAGAATCMTTTACAGATAATCACCTTTACCATGAATAATCAAGATCACAAATATTAATTCAAAATTCTCAAAATTAATTCTCTCTCTCTCTCCCCCTGAGGACATAAAATTATGCCAATCAGGATTATTGCACTATATTATATGATTGATTTTTTAAAAAATAAAGGTTMGTCATGTATTTAATCTATAGGCCATTATTTCTACCTTACGAAGTCTCCCAACAAATTTAGATAGAATCTTCCCACTTATTTTCAATTAATGAAATAGAAAACAGGTTCACATTTCTTTTAAAACAGCTTCTCAATTTCCCTTCCTGTTATTGTTCTACTTAGTCCAGCCTCAAAAACAACCTTTTAAATTCTGCCCCACCTTAGAAGTTGTGATGCTAAAAGAAGCCTATAGAAAGGGAAGTCTCCCTTTAAGGAAGAACTATCATGCTAGGCCACTGCGACCAGAGGGGAAGAGACTCACTAGACAGAAATGGCTGAGGGAGTGGTGTCTGGCTTAGGGCAGCAGAGRTTCCCCTCCAGCTCCAAGTGGGCAAGTTATCCACCACCCCAGACTTCCTTTCCTCATTGATTAAAAACACGGATGAGGATGATGGTAGCAATGGTGGTATCCCACTCGGAGACCGCTGGAGAAAGGAAATGAGCTAATATACTAAAATCCCTTTTAACAGCATGTGGCAAATAGCAAGCAGCATGTGAGTGCTAGCTATTAGCACTATACAAAAGTAGCATTTTAAAAAGTGAATGACGTCCATAATGTCCATAATGTTCATTCATTTTGGCTTCCTTGTGCAAAGAATTCTCTGTTCTTAGAACCAGGAGGGAAAATGCAAGAAAAGCCAGACCATTCAGGCCACTTGGAAAAGTACCTCTAGCCTTTCAAAGCGGCACTCAGCCAGGCCCAGTCCTACAGGTGCCCCTAGGTGGCATCAGAGGCTCATGCCTCAAAAAGAAAATCCAGTGTAGAAAAACTTACTGGAAGGAGAGAACATAAAACTAGAAAGATGGGGAGGAAAATGAGTTTAACAGGTTAACAAGAAAGGTTAAATAAAATTTCTAGAATAACTCTCTTTATAGACAATGAGTCACTAGGAGATCCACGTCTCAAATTGCAAAAGAAGAAAACTGCTTCAGGAAAATAAGAGCCAAGCAGTAAATACAAGTAGTAAAGATTTATTAATAGACTAGGTAAGCATTAGTATTACTGTGAAAAAGTTATGACATAATAATATGTAATATTGTTATTAGCAATATGAGCAAACATTTTATTTATTTACTTAAAAACAGAAAAATAGTCACCATATAATAACCAATAATTAGCATTTGCTTTTTTCCGGGATGGTTAAAGTCTCARAAACTAAGATCGTCTCATAAACATGCCAGGAGATGACGGCATTCACGGCCTGCACCCAGTGCGAAAATTCCTGCCTCAATGATATTAATAACAGAGCCAGCTATGGAACAGGCCATGGCAGAGAAATACACAGATTGTTGGAATCAATCTCCTTTTCACAGTCCTAGTCAGCAACCTGAGACTGAATGCAGATGGCATTAGTCTTGAAGTCAGTCTTCATCAGCTGCTTTAAAAGCAAAAGATAAGTTATATACATGCCCTCTATAATCTTAAGGTAAAATGACTCGGCTCCCTATTTACCTACTGAATAGAACTCTAATCCAAATGGTGCTAGTAACATCTGGGAATAATTGATCTCCCCTAAAGTGCTCCAGAACTCTATCTACAGACTCCTCATACAATCTGTAAGAACCCTGGAAAAAATGATGGAGAGCAGGAGAAAGAATACCAGTTGGTTTCCAAATCTCCAAGTTGATTTGGGGCCTAGGACTACAATTTCTATAGCTCTCCAAGAAGTGAAGCAGCATTTCTGAGAGGGTTTTTCTGTGCTTTTCATTTATCCTTGGGTGTGAATGACTGTCAAGTGAAAGAAGAGCTTCTTCGCACCACACACCAATCAAGGTGTTCACAGGAAGTATCATTTTCTCTATTTAATAACATGATCTGTAGGTAGATACATAGAATGAACCCTATAGTCTATTATATATTAAATATAAATAATATTGTAATAATGTATATCATATTAACAAAATATCTAACACACYGGCCATATACTCATTATATAAAAGACTATATACATATATTCTATATATGACATATATAATTCATTAAGACTGATTGATTGAGTAGCATAGCATATTTCTACAAAGAGGAACTTTTTCAAAATTGAACCTCAAGCCTTCAGTTGCAAGGAATGCCATGCTAAAATTTTATTACATTGCAAATAAAAGGACCTATTTTAAGTGAGATTGCTATAAAAGCTCTTATTAAACCCTGACATCAGTGTTTATTTCCACTCCTTAGGGGAGTAATTCAGACTCCAAAGAGGGAAGGCAGGAGCTAAGATTCTACCTTTGAAATCAATGCTGAGTACACAGTATCAAGCCTTAAAAGAATTACAAATATAAAGCAACCACATGGCACATTAGGAACAATTTARATTTTATTTGGTTTATTTGTTTTTGATAAAGTGTGAGGCTAAAGATTCTGCAGTACCGACTGCCACGAATTAAGCCGTCTGCAAACTTTACACGCTGGTCTACAGCCACTGTCACAGCCAACACACCATGTGTGCTGGAATGATTCAAATAAATGTTTCTCATCAACTTAGTAGAGATCATCTCTATTCCAACAAAATCCAGCAGATCTCAAAACAAGCATGTAAATTTATGTTGCTAATTTTATAAGAGAATTATGCTTCCAAATGTTTCTATGCGGTGGCATGTTCAATATAGAACTGGAGCAACTTGTAAAGCTATCAATAAATCATACCGAATAAAGATCCTTAATTGCCAAAGTTAATAGTTAATAGCTATAGCTCTGCCCTGCCCTTTGAGTTTTTTCATTATTTTCTACTGATGGGGGAGGGGTGGTGATGGTAAAATTTACACATAAAACTATTTAGATAAATCCTTAGCCTTCAGAATCATAGCAAACATTAATGGATCCTTTTTTAAAGATAAAAGTGGACTCTACTCTATATCATTGATTTTGATTTGCCTCTCCTACTGATGGGGGAGGGGTGGTGATGGTAAAATTTACACATAAAACTATTTAGATAAATCCTTAGCCTTCAGAATCATAGCAAACATTAATGGATCCTTTTTTAAAGATAAAAGTGGACTCTACTCTATATCATTGATTTTGATTTGCCTCTCCTCTTGTATTGATATCATTCTCCTTTGACAACAAATGGTAGCAAGACTTGAAGTCAGTTAAGGAAAGCTTTCAAGTTTGTTTGTTGGGCTGTTTGGGCTATTGTAGGCTCTATGGATTTCCAATTAAATTTTAAGTTTGGTTTATAATTTCTTTTTTACAAAAAAAAATGACTGATGTTGCAATGAACCTATAGATTCACTTAGGAAGAATTGCTCTCTTAAATATTATCTTTCAATCCATAAAATGATATGTCTCTCCACTTACTAAAGCCTCTAATTTCTCTACACAATATATTTATTTTTCAGTGGACAGATACTGCATGTCTCTTGTTGAATTTGTTCA